CTTATGATAAACTTACGATAGATTTGCGGATATATAAACTTATAAAATACTTAAAACAAGTAATATTTACTTAAATACAGTATGTATTTTTCTGTGTGTAGATAGGCGCTTTAGAGAAACTTTCTTTTTAAAGTTCACAAACAATACAGATATATATTCTGTTTCTGTCATCTAAACTGATTAAGTAATTACATATGCAATATCACAACAGTTGCTAATCATTTATCTGTTTTAGTTAATTTTTTACACCTAGAAAATTTTAGCTATTATTGCAAGATCATTTTTTTGAGTGTACCGTATCGAAATCGTAAAAATATGTATTGGCAAATGCGAAGTTGCTGCAATTCTGAACACGTGTACCACCAACGTCGAAGATAAAAGGCCAGCAAACGAAAGTACTATTCATTAGCAATGGCTGTGAACATGTCTCCATAATTGCATATGGATTTTTCGCACACAATTGCACGAATATCACGCAATGTGTCGTGTAAAGCCGAGTGAACGATATCGTGTCTGTCAATGTTTTATTGGCAAATCTTGTTATTAAACACGTCCGCGTATAAAATCGTACATGTATTCTGATATTTCAAATGTTTCCTTGCATTACACAAAGTAGAATTCCATCTTGAGTTCTGTCGTGAATTATAGATCGTCTAAAATGAGTTTAAAAATGTATAACTAGGTAACGTTAAATCACGTTGTAGTATACGATAATGTCAGAAATTACGTCTACTTGACAGAAAGCACTCGAGACTGGCAAAGAGTTACGCTATCAAAGTGTGGCGTCGTAGCCTCCCGTAAAACGAGTATGCGACGGCGTATGGAAATTGATAGCATGCATTTCTGTGCTCGTCAGCTTTTCAAACATGCTGCTGCTGCTCCACGCGAGCCGTAACACAGTTGAAATACGCTAGAAAGCCGGCCTCGCTCGTCGGCCGGTCTCCAAACGATTATTTTGTGAATTCACATTTTGCGACTCGTTTTGCTCAGTTCGGGTACCTGAAAGGGGACAAAGAAACGAAGGAACGTTGACGAATCGGCCGGTAACGATCGCCTCGTAACGGTACGCGATGACGTACATCATCTCTTTTCCTAAAAGGTCGAGATGCCAAGTACAAGGCCACCTTGACTATCCTTGCGTGAGAAAAAATTACGCTTGAATGGACGATACTTTATATTTACATAGCATTAGCCTTTTGCGGCGGAATGCGACGTGTGAATGGCAGCGCGCGTTACAGTGCGTCATTGTTTTGAGCTCCGATTAAAAGTACGAATCTCCCGTAAGGCCGCATTGGCTGCATCGAGATTGCGAATTGGAGATTAGAATTCGATTAGTCAAGTAATATCAATCTTAGCCCACTCTACTGATAGATCGAATTCCAATCTCCAGCCTTCGCAACCTTCAATTTTCAACGCATAATCTGAGTTTTATTCAGTTTCTCTAGCAATCAATTATGCTGATTAATAGAATGTAACCATCCGGTTGAGATTTGTAATGTATCTTAGTACAAATCTTTACATTTTTATTCCAATTAAACGCATTGGATGCTAGATGTGATTAAAAGCTAAAAGATGGTATACGTAGAGGAAATTTACGATTCTACGCTTTCTGTTTATTTCCTCCAAATGTATAGTATGATGCATGACTCGAGGGAAATGCGGCGCAAGAAAATGCATTACGTCACATAAAAGTGCGATATACGCGGGAATACGCGTCTTCGACGTTCGTAACGCGAGCGCGATTGCAAACGAGCGCTCGTGAACGCGATATTCAGTGCGTGTCGCGAGAGCTCTTTCACCGCGATCCGTTAAACCCCGCTCGCAGGTATCGAATAGCCTAATGTAAAATTAAAAGAGCTCTTTATGCATGTGCCGCGCGCGTATGGAGCGCGGCAGGGTTAAAGCTCTCTTGTCTCATCCGCGCTCATGTGAGTACGCGCGGCGTGAGTACAACGCCGCAGCGTTGCTACAGCGTGCAACTGCCTCTCACGTTGTTTTGTTCACTGAACTAGTTCCCTCTCCTCTCGCCTCGCCGATTCATTCCATCACTACCAAGCTCGGCATCTTACCACCACCATCGCTATCACCACTACCACCGCGCGCGCACCGCCGTCGTGTGGCCATAAGAGCGCGTTGCCCACAACAACGTCATCGAGATCACCGTCGCGCTGGGAGACAGAACGAGAGATGCGGCGCCGAATGGAGGTGGCACCGAGAGAGACGGCGAGCGTTTAAGTGAGGATTCCACCGAATTCGTCGAATCACTATGGAATTTCTCGAGCGGGAAGAAGTGTGAGCTGGCTGCGCAAAGCATTCCTTGGGGATAGCTGTAGCTCTTTACATAATTCTTTTTTTTTTTCTCTATTTTTTTCCACCGCATTACATTTGCCGCGGAAGAAACTTGTGGAAATTCCACTTTGTAGACGCGCTACGGCGCTCGCCGACGGAGAAGAGAAAGCCGAGGATGAAGACAGAGACGGAGCGTCGTCGGAGCGCGCTGCGAGTGCAAGCGCAACGGATGCATGAAAAAGGGAGTGAGATGCGCAGCGACGTGGGGCGCGCAGACCTCGAAGTACGAAGAACACGGACCGGCCGCCGCATACCTACACGACGCGTAATGAGAACATACCAGCATCGTTCGGCCTGCTATCTGCTATCAAACGGATACCACCGGTCCAGCCGCGGACGATGCGCGCAACGCGCCCCAAGCAAGCGAGACCCAAATTTATCTGCGCGCATCGCCGCCGCGCGGCTGGCTGCGCGCTCTCTTAAAAATCTCTCTCTCGATATTTCATTGCGATCATCGTAATTGAGATCTCGGCTTTTCAGCTATTCGTTCAGCGCTCACCGTCGGTTCTGTGCATGTGCTCGATCGATCGAGCCCCCCCGATTGCCGCCACGTCGAGTCTTAATCATCATTCCCGACGATGATTCTCACTGCTTCGTACGATACGAAGCAGAATCAGGCATTGAGGCTGTCGCTGTTGCTACACTTTGATTAATAAACAACTTCGAGAGAGTATCACGCTTCTCAGAAACGTTGTGTATCATTTAATGAATATGTGTTCGAAATATTAACAAATACAGGAATTATTTTAGTGCGAAATGCTTGACTTGTTACACATATCTCATTGTTGCAAAATGTTTGACTCCGTTTATTACTGTTTTCGTGCAGTCTATCTGACAATCTATTAATATCGCATGCATGCTGTAAAATTGCATGCATTTAAATGTTAATTTACTCCCTACGACACATTATTATTGACACCGAAAAAGGCCTGATGACAGGCTGAAACGTTTGTTTATTTCATTTAAATGCATGTTTTTGCACGAACAATTGGCTCTTTTTGCTTCTTTATATTTCAATGTTGATATTTAATATTTATTCGATAAATAAAATTATAGGACAATAATTTTATCTCTTCAGGTGACGAAGATACATAAAATGAGTAAACAAATAATATTTGAATATGACGTTTGATCGATAATACAAGAAAAACACTCAACTCAAAGTCGGTGTTGAATAAAAATTGGGGTAAATGACATGTACATTCCATTCTAACGTTGTATTAAACTTTCTATTTTATTATCTGAAATTTTGAGCGGTTGACCTGGCTCCGTTCGATTTACACAAGCTTTCGATTTTAAACGATGTCGTTCCCTAATAAACTCTAGTCGACGCGCCGATCGTAAAACAATGTAGTTCGTAACGACGATATCGTCGGTATGCCTTGTTCTTCGCGCCTGCATCTTCTTCCTGTTTTTCTCTTCGCTGCCTCTTCATATTTGCTGCGGTCGCTCTCTCATCGAAGACGCTATTAAATTCAGCGCCACGCCGTCGCGACGATGCGCACTGTGTCTCGTTCGTTTAACTCTGTATATCTACCGTTCCCTTTTCGCATATACAGGATTGTCACATTGAGAATCCTGTATCGTCATTCCGCTGCCATTTTACGTTAACTCGTTTTTCAATATTTTTCTCCATCAATACACGAATAAAACACAATACACGCTAATAAAAATATGTCTAAAAGAGAAAATAAGTTTATATAATTTATGTACTATATATATATAGTTCGAAAGAAGTTTAAAAATGAAAAGTTTCCTCTTAAAAATGTTAAGAGTGTCTCTGAAATCATTGATACACATTTGAACGATTTATTTAGATCATTTGCATTTAACTTTTCCTTTCAAGAAAATATGAAATCAGTAGACATCACATTTCTGAATTTTTAATACGAATAAAGTAAACATTGAAAATTTTTTGGCCAATAATAAGCCTTCGATTAAAATATTCTTAAAGTTGCATTTAAAAATAAAGTTTTCTTATCATTTTTTTTTATTATAAAATTCATTAATTTACCAAGACAGTCGTCATGTGTATCTTGTTAATTTAATTTCCATTAATTGTTCGAAAAAATGTGTACCGATAATTTCGGGACACCCTATATACACCGGTAGGAGCGGGCAGGATCAGTCTGAACCTGATGTGCCAGTGTAGGGTTATCCTCTCCTTAAAATGTACGCCGGTCTCCTCACACTTCCCACCATATACGCGAAAATATGCGCGTGATTTTTGACAGAAATGCGCGATGTCCTTGGTTTTTTCTTCTATTGCACAGATAACGTATGCACGGGTTTATACAATCTAGACATGCCTGCACGCGCGCAGTTGCTTCGTTTTTCACGTTCTCACGGGCAGAATCCCGCGATTAATACAAATATTGGCATTGGTAAGAATAGCGATATATTGGTTAATGGCAATTCCACATGCACATGTACGCCGCATACGCGTAACTATCGCTACGCATGCACGTATACGCGTATTGCGACTCGCAAAGTGTATATTTTTCTCTTTCTACCGATTCGCTGTTACAATTAATTAATCGTCCGATGAACGAACTTCGTCTCGTTCTTAAAGATACTCTCCTCAGCTTTAGAGTTGTCTTCGTGTGCGTATAGAATTTCAGCGACAAACAGCTTTGAAGGACATCCATTTTCGCAGACATATCGAGACCGCCGCGGATAGATCGTGTCGTGATAATCAAGAAAATTCAGTTTCTTCAGTGTCCATCATTTTTACAAGCACATTTTGATCAGTATTCGTAAAGTATTACGTCGATGATGAGATATACAATGGACAGGATGGGATTAAATGGGAAAGATTAACGCGCCTCTAGCGATGAGTTCTAAAGTACAGTTCGAAAATTGAAATTCGTATAATCTTAGTGAATTTGGATTTCGATAGGGACTTTGTCATACTTATTCGCGACAAAGAAAATGCAACAACTGGCGGAAGGTACGTTTTTCTATTTTGATAGCGTGTTTCGAAAGTCAAGTTCACCAAGATTTCAATCTCTGCTCAAATAGTTTCGATGACGTTTAATGGACTTGCGAATTAAACTGCTGATAAACAATACCGATTACACAACGACGATACGCGCGATGAAATTGATCGCACAAAATGGGACACAAAATGCACGTTTTCAACGTTTTATTTGAACAATTTAACGTGACGTCACTGTTAATCAGCAGCTACAATGATGATCGTGACGATGAGATTGAATAATGTTGCGTCGAAATGAGAGTCTTGACAACATCCGCGAGTGCGTGTGCCGATCGTCGAGGTAACAACGGCGATTGTCACGGATGATTTTCACAACGTCTTAGGAACCGGAAGCGGGTGCGGACGAGGATATTTCCTTGGACGATCTTCGCTACTGCGACTCGTTGGATTCGTCGTAGGGCGGATTGTTTCGCATCAACCTATCTTTATCCATCGGTCGATCGAATATTCGAGGGCGGCCAACCACCTGAAAATAAATACACGTGACGTGTGATAGAGTGAAATCGTGAAAGCGCAACCGACAATTACGCTTTATTCACCGTTTCTTATCCATTTCGGACTCGGTAGCGAAGATATAGCTTCTCTGCGTGGGATCCGGTGGCTGCAGCTCGAAAGCGTGCTTCCTGCCGCCGGAACTCGGAGCGCTGCTATGCACCCTAAAACCGTGCAGACACGCCACGCCGAACGCCTTCTCGGCGTTGGCATCATCGTAGAAATATAGCGCTGCGTCCTTCAACACGCAATAACGCCGGGACCAACCGGTGGGCGAGGACGTTTTCCGTGCGTGTTCCTGCTGTTTGCTCAAATATCCGAAACAATCTGCCCTCTGAATAGCACACGCAGCCATTTCTCTCATCCTTAGCGAAGAATCCAGCCAAGTGTCAATCTGAGAAAAAATAGTAGGCGATTATTTAAAAAAAAAGAAAATTTGTTCAAAACTATCGAAACAAACTCGTAAAATGTTTGCAGAATAATATTATATAGTTATTTAAATAAAATAACTATATGAAAAATTTATATATAATATAAT